GGAGGTGGGAAATGGCAACGGTGGCATCGATCCACCTCCACCCACGCCAGGATGTGATGGACCTTCAGCTTCCTCACCTCATCGTGCTCCTCAGGAGCCTGCCTCGGGGTGGGGGAGATCCCAGCACGCCGCCTGTCTCGTTTGCTTTGCCAGCACCAGAGGCTGGTTCATGAGTGCCTTTAATTTCCAGCCCAAGTTGCCCCGAGAAGACCATTGGAGGCCGTTGGGTCTCCTTGGTGTGACTGAAGTACTCCAGCCTCCTGAGAGGAAGGTGGGCTTGGAAAGAGGAGGGTCAACACCTCACAGTGACCCCAAGGATCAGCTTAAAAATGACAGTGTGTCTCCTCGGCGTGGGAGCCACCAGCAAGTGGTTGGGTGAATCAATTCCAACCTCCCGAGGCGGTTGCCGCTGTGGGAGAGTGCCCATAAAAGCTTTTAATTCCTACCTATTTATTGCCACCTTTCTCCTGAGCTTCACTTGCTGCCACAGCCAGCACCTCCAGACGTGCCTGCCTGGGGTGAACATCTCGAACCCGTGGTTGAAGCACCTTGGCAAACATTGTCTGAGGCTTTTTCACACCCTGGCTCTGAGCTCTGGCACACAAAACACTCCGCTCATAATTGTTTGCAGGGTGGGACTTGGCATCTCAGCCTCTCTGGCTGTGATCCCCTGAGTGTTTCCTGAGGAGCTCTGCCATCAAGGTGGCTTAGGGTTAGGTTATGGTCAAAAATGTGAAGATGTTTTGCCCTGAGGCCGAAGGGGCTTGTGCTTTATGGGTGGAGAGAGGTGTGGAGGCATCTCTGGTGGGTCCTGCAGCCTCCAGCACCCAGAAGTCAAGAAAATCATAGAATCACAGAATCATTTAGGTTGGAAAAGACCTTTAAGATCATCACATCCAACCATTAACTCAGCACTGCCAAGTCCCTCTCTAACTCGTGTCCCTCATCACCACATCTCCACGGCTTGGAAACCCCTCCAGGGATGGGGGAGATTCCACCACTGCCCTGGGCAGCCTGGGCCAGTCTTTTGAGGGAGACCTCAACCTCCTGGACAAAGGTCTTCTGCAAGCTTCAGAACCTGGGCTCACACACGAGGGCCAATTTTTGGGCACTACCATCCAGGCTGGACGTGGTGGTGCCGAGCAACCCGTGTGGCATCACCCACATCCTGGGTGTCCTGAGGTGTCCCACGCCGTGGTGGGCCCAGATCTGAGGAGCATCCCAAGCATTAACCAACTCCTAGGGTATTTTTGATGCTCCATCTTCAGAGCAGGGCAGAAAAGGGTCAATTTGGAGGCCTCATCTTTGGAGGAGGACAATAAGGGGCAGTTTTGATGCCACGTGTTTGAACCATGACCTGCAGCAGCTGCGGTTGGCCCCGTATGGTGCAACCCCATAAACTATGAGTTTCCTTCCTTTTTTTTTTCCCATTTTAGGCCTGTTTTGCCTCATCACCCACCCTGTCGTGCTGACAGTGCTGGAGGAAGACACGTGGCACCTTCCTCCTGCCTCAGCAGCTCGCACCCGCCGCCGGCTCACGTGGCCTTGGCCCCACCACCCTTGACTCAGCTAATTCCCCTTTGCCTGAGGCACTGGCCAAGCTCCAGATGGGTTGGAACTGGTGCCATCCAAACGAGAGGAGGTCCAGGACCACCACCACCACCACCACCAAGGTCGTGGTCCCACCACCAGCGTGGTGGGTGAGGTGGGAGGTGGCCCCTCGGATCCTCACGGGGGTGACACCTCGGTGGCTGACCCGTAGGAAAGTGGGACAAACATCTGTAGCTGCTCCCCAGGCGTGTTTGGAGCACCACGTAATGAATGTTTGCTCAGTGATGGAGGCTGATGAGTGCTTGGCATTATTGGCCAATGATAAATAGCTGCTGTTGTTGATGTTGCTACCTCAAAACATCTCGTTTCGGTCTCTGGATGGAGCAAAAAGGGCTGAGGGCCAAGCTGCTGGTGCCAAGACTCTGGTTTTGTCTCTTTGGAGGTGGCTTCTTCCCAAAGAAAGCCACGTGGACATCCCTGCCCTGAGCTTGGACCCCCACGGTGGCAAGGAGAGGACCTGTGCAGCCAGCAGCAAGATGTTCAGGACCCCCAAACCCTGGGGCAGCAGGACTGGGCTTGGGGACACGGTTGCAAGATGACTTTCAGAGGCCTGATCCAAAGGCCACTGTGGGTTTCTTGTGCTTTTAAGCCACCTTGAAGCAGACCAAAGAGCTAAATATCCAGGAAGGAGCCTTGTGGTGTCCCAGCCCTCCTCCCAGCCTGCTGACCATGGTTGTGAGGGACAAGCACTCACAGGGGGATGGCTCCTCTGTTGATTTTGGGGGAGAAAGGGGTAAAAAAAAAGCATTGGTGAGAGTGATGCTTGGGAAACGTTTAGAAAAAGACCTTCTGAATACACCAAGATGAAAAAAACCTACCCCACCATCACCTTTCTCTCCTCTGTTGCCATGGACAACCCATGGATCCCACCTGCCCTCAGCAGCCACACCTGAGACCCCCACCCCCACCCTCCACCCATGGCCATGGAGACCTATTTAAACTCAGGTTTGGGCATCTCCTCTTGCTCCAGGTGCTGTGATGCTGGTGTGGAGCTCCCTGGTCCTTCCCTGGCTTGTGCTGGAGGCAGCTTGTCGTCTCCAGTGCCCTCTCCTGGTGAGATCTTGGGGCTGTGTGGTGGTTGATGTCTCCTGGATGGACCTTGGAGCTGGGTTGCAGCTCTGTCCCTGGTCCATCTCCTGCAGGTTCAAGAGCTGGGTGTCCAAGGGGCACTTTAGGAGCAGCCTGCATGGCCAAGGGGAGGTGATGTGTGCTCTGACCCCTTCTAGAAGGAGGAGAAGCTTGGGCTTGCTTGCTTCAACTGGCTCACCCATTTCTAAAGCCTTTGTAGGTCCTTTAGAGCTTTGAAGTCTTTCTCCCTCTGCAGAGTTGCCTGAAGGACTTGCTGGCACCTCAACCTCCTCTGGAAACCTGAGTGTGTCTGGTGGGGTCTTGAGGGCTTCCTTTGGGCAGAGGTCCTGGGAAGGAACCTTGGAGGCTGAGCCCAAACCAATATCTTAGTGTTTGGTTTCCTGCTTCCTTTGCTCCTTCTGCCCCACGTGTGGGGCAGTAGCTTCATTTATTTCTCTGCAGGAGAAGAAAGTCCCCAGGTCCTCCAGGGCAGGTAGGTGGTGGTCCTCAGCATCACAGCAGAGGGGTCCTTCCTTCCTGGAGCTGTTGCATCTTTTGGCTCTATCCAAAACCTAAAGGACCATGTGTGAGGAGCAGAAATGAGCATCAAGTCTTGCTTGGTAGGTGCAGATGGGAGGTTCTTCCTGCCCAAACTTCTGGTGAACCTTCCCAAGGTGCCTGGCAAAAGCCTTCAGGGGACTCTGGAAGCACAGGGAGATGCTTTTGGGAAGGGGTGGGAAATCAGGAGACATCTCCTCTGCCCATCCAAGCTGCTTGTTGCCCTTCCAGGGTTTCTCAGGGCTCTGCAGAGCACAGGGACATCTGTGGGGTGCAGGATTGGCCAACGCTGGGGCTGGGTGCTCAGGAGGAAGGTGGGCATGGTGGGGCTCACCCAAACCCCAAAGTGACCAGGTTTTTGGCTCTGGGACCTGCAGAGCAAAAAGGTCCCAGCCTGCAAGAGGGGACGTTGGGTATGACCACAACCCTGGGTCTTGGGGAGCTGATGGTCACTCGTAGGAGACCTCAGGCCAGTTCCACCTGAAGCAGGACCTCCAGATGAGGTCCTCAGAGGTGGCTGCCACAGGAACATCAATGTTGGGGTCTCCAAATGTGGGGGTTTTCCATGGAGGGGTCAGCCCAGCCTTCCTAGGGCTGTGTCATCCCCCCACCGTGGGGATGGGGTGGACAAGGAGGTGCTGCTGATCAGAAGATGATGTTCTGGAGAGATCCTGGGGTCTGCTGGGAGGTGATGGGGGGGCTGAGCAGTTCTCCTCCTGGTGCCAAGCCTGGCTTTAATGCCCAGATTTAGCCTTCTGGGCTCTAAGTCATAGGGGCTGGTGCCTCTGCTCAATTGGGTTAATTGGCTTAATTACAGGTCTCCTCCTACAAGCTGCCTGCTCCCATCTGTGGATCCAAGCTCCTGGATGAGAGAGACCTGTCAGAGCCATGCTGCTCCTCAAGGAGGATCTGGGAAGGTGCTGGACAGCAAAGGAGAAGCCCAGGCTGAAGATAGTTTGACCTTGAAGGTCCTTGGCCAGCTGATGTGCTCATACCCAAGTAACTCAAGAAGGTGATGAACCCTGGTAGAGCTGCTGGGAAGACTAAACTGCCTCCTGCCCAGGTCAAACATGGGCTTCCATCCACCCCTCAGCACCTGGCAGCTCTGCAGGGACCAAGAGGAGGAATTTCTCCAGCATCCTGGGAGTCACACTGGGTGAGAAGCCCCCCAAGAGCTGGCAGTGTCCTCCTGAAGCCCAGGAGGCCAACCACATCCTGGGATGCAGCAAGGGGAGAGTGCCTCCAGAGCAAGAGAGGACCCTTGTGAGACCCCACCTCAAATGCTGTGTCCAGTTCTGGTGTCCCCACCTTCAAAGGGACATAGAGCTGTTGGAATGAGTCCAGAGGAGGCCATGAAGTTGATCCAGGAGCTGGAGAATCTCTGCTCTGAGGATGGGCTGAGGGCAATGGGGTTGTTCAGCCTGGAGAAGACTCCACGAGGACCTCAGAACTGCCACCAATACCTGAAGGAACCTCCAGGAAGGCTGGAGAGGGACTTGGCACAAGAGTGTCCAGTGACAGGAGAAGGGGAAATGGTTTAAACTGGAGGAGAGCAGGTTTAGACTGGATCTGAGGAAGAAGCTCTGCAGTCTGAGGGTGGCCAGACTCTGGACTAGGTTGCCCCGAGAGCTGTGGATGCCCCTCCCTGGGGGGGTTCAAGGCCAGGTTGGATTGTCCTTGAGCAACCTGGTCTAGCTGAGAGGTGTCCCTGCCCATGGCTGGGGGTTGGATGAGATGATCCCTTCCAACCTCATCCATCCTATGAATCATTGATGCTCCCTCATCATTCCAGGGAAGAACCTTTGGTTAGAAAGGGTTAAATGTGGGGCAGGGCAGGACAGGACCAGCTCCAGAGGCAGCTGAGAAGGGCTGGTGGGGCCAGAGAGGAGATGGGACTCTGCAGGACCATACTGGTCATCAACGTGCCACTTGTCCCCATGAGGGCACAGGCTCTGCTGGACTGAGGTGCTTGGGAGAAGCGTGGTGGGTTTGGGGGTGTGGGATGGAGGGGAGGACACCCCTCTCTGGAGGGTGTTGTAGGCATCTGTCTTCTCAGCTGAGAGGAAGAGCTTCACCCCATGGGACTGGAGGTCTGTGTGGAGTCCTCGTTGATGATGAAGCAGAACCTGAGCTCTGGGCTGTTGTTGGAGAGCATCAAAAAGTCAAAGAGGTTCTTCTCTGCTGGGTTGTTCTCCAGGATCTTCTCATTCACATACTGTGCTGCCTGCAGAGAAGATGAGGCTCTTCTTGAGGGACATGGTTGGGATGACTTTGCTTGGGGCTCTCTCCCAGCTGAGGTTAGTGGTTTGTCCTGCATCTGGGCACCTCTGTGCTCAGCACTGGGGAGGCCACACCTCAAATCCTGGGCTCAGTTTTGGGGCCTTCACTCCCAGAAGGAGCTTGAGGGGTTGGAACAGGTCCAGAGAAGGACAACGGAGCTGCTGGGGAAGGGTCTGGAGCCCAAGTGTGGGGAGGAGCAGCTGAGGGAGCTGGGGGTGCTGAGCCTGGAGCAAAGGAGGCTCAGGGGAGACCTT